CAGTCATCAAAAATCCCCCAACAAACAAAAGCCCAGGGCCAGATGGCTTCCAAGGGGAATTTTACCAAACATTTAAAGAAGAATTAATACCTATTCTTCTGAAACTGTTCCAAAAAATAGAAATGGAAGGAAAACTTCCAAACTCATTTTATGAGGCCAGCCTTACCTTGATCGCAAAACCAGACATAGACCCCATCAAAAAGGAGAATTATAGACCAATATCCTTGATGAACATGGATGCAAAAATTCTCACCAAAATTCTAGCCAATAGGATACAACAGTACATTAAAAGGATTATTCACCACGACCAAGTGGGATTTATCCCTGGGCTGCAAGTTTGGTTCAACATCCACATATCAATCAACGTGATACAATACATTAATAAAAGAAAGAACGAGAATCATATGATGCTCTCAATAGATGCAGAAAAAGCCTTTGACAAATTACAGCATCCTTTCTTGATCAAAACTCTTCAGAGTATAGGGATAGAGGGTACATACGTCAAGATCATAAAAGCCATCTATGAAAAACCCACAGCGAAAATCATTCTCAATGGGGAAAAACTGAGAGCTTTCCCTCTAAGGTCAAGAATGAGGCAGGGATGTCCACTATCACCACTGCTATTCAACACAGTATTAGAAGTCCTAGCCACAGCAATCAGACAACAAAAAGAAATCAAAGGCATCCAAATCAGCAAAGAAGAAGTCAAACACTCACTCTTTAGAGATGATATGACACTTTCTGTGGAAAACCCAAAAGACTCCACCCCGAAACTGCTAGAAATCATACATGAATTCAGTTAAGTGGCAGGATATAAATTCAATGCATAGAAATCAGTGGCATTCCTATACATCAACAAAAAGACAGAAGAAAGAGAAATTAAGGAGTCGATCCCATTTACAATTGCACCCAAAACCATAGGATGCCTAGGAATAAACCTAACCAAAGAGGCAAAGGATCTGTACTCAGAAAACTATAAAATACTCAGGAAAGAAATTGAGGAAGACACAAAGAAATGGAAAAACGTTCCATGCTCATGGATTGGAAGAACAAACATTGTGAAGATGTCAATGCTACCTAAAGCAATCCACCCGTTCAATGCAATCCCCATGAAATACCATGAATATTTTTCAAAGAAATGGAACAAATAATCCTAAAATATGTATGGAACCAGAAAAGACCCCGAAGAGCCAGAGGAATGTTGAAAAAGAAAAGCAAAGCTGGGGGCATCACAATTCCAGACTTCCAGCTCTATTACAAAGCTGGCATCATGAAGACAGTATGGTACTGGCACAAAAACAGACACGTAGATCAATGGAACAGAATAGAGAGCCCAGAAATGGACCCTCAACTCTACGGTCAACTAATCTTTGACAAAGCAGGAAAGAATGTCCAATGGAAAAAAAACAGTCTCTTCAACAAATGGTGTTGGGAAAATTGGAGAGCCACATGCAGAAGAATGAAACTGAACCATTTCCTTACACCACACATGAAGACAGACTCAAAATGGTTGAAAGACCTAAATGTGAGACAGGAGTCCATCAAAATCCTAAGAGAGAACACAGGCAGCAACCCCTTCGACCTCAGCTGCAGCAACTTCTTCCTAGAAACATCACCAAAGGCAAAGGAGGCAAGGGCAAAAATGAACTATTGGGATTTTATTGAGATAAAAAGCTTTTGCACAGCAAAAGAAATAGTCAACAAAACCAAAAGACAACCGACAGAATGGGAGAAGATATTTGCAAATCACATATCAGATAAAGGGCTAGTATCCAAAATCTATAAAGAACTTCTTAAACTCGACACCCAAAGAACAAATGATCCAATCAAGAAACTGGGAGAAGACATGAACAGACATTTTTCCAAAAGAGACATCCAGATGGCCAACAGACGCATGAAAAAGTGCTCAGCATCGCTCGGCATCAAGGAAATCCAAACCAAAACCTCAATGAGATATCAACTCACACCAGTCAGAATGGCTAAAATTAACAAGTCAGGAAACGACAGAGGTTGGCGGGGATGTGGAGAAAGGGGAACCCTCCTACACTGTTGGTGGGAATGCAAGCTGGTGCAGCCACTCTGGAAAACAGTATGGAGGTTCCTCAAAAAGTTGAAAATAGAGCTACCCTACAACCCAGCAATTTCACTACTTGGTATTTACCCCAAAGATACAAATGTAGGGATCCGAAGGGGTACGTGCACCCCATGTTTATAGCAGCAATGTCCACAATAGCCAAACTGTGGAAAGAGCCAAGATGCCCATTGACAGATGAACGGATAAAGAAGAGGTGGTATATATATATATACAATGGACTATTATGCAGCCATCAAAAGGAATGAGATCTTGCCATTTGCAACGATGTGGATGGAACTAGAGAGTGTTATGCTGAGCGAAATAAGTCAATCAGAGAAAGACATGTGTCATATGACCTCACTGATATGAGGAATTTTTTTTTAAGATATATTTAGTTATTTTGAGAGAGTGAGAATGAGAGAGAGAGAGAGAGAGAGAGAGAGCGCGCACATGAGAAGGGTAAAGACCAGAGGGAGAAGCAGGTTCCTCGCTGAGCAGGGAGCCTGATGAAGACTCGATCCCGGGACTCCAGGATCATGACCTGAGCCGAAGGCAGTCGCTTAACCAACTGAGCCACCCAGGTGCCCTGATATGAGGAATTCTTAATCTCAGGAAAAAAAGTGAGGGTTGCTGGAGTGATGGGGGGGTGGGAGGGATGGGGTGGCTGGGTGATAGACATTGGGGAGGATATGCGGTATGGTGAACGCTGTGAATTGTGCAAGACTGTTGAATCACAGAGCTCTACCTCTGAAGTAATACAATGTATGCTTAAAAAAAAAGAAGAAGAAGAAGATAACAGGAGGGGAAGAGTGAAGTGGGGGAAACCGGAGGTGGGGGAGACGAACCATGACAGACGATGGACTCTGAAAAACTGAGGGTTCCAGAAGGGAGGGGGGTGGGGGGATGGGTTAGCCTGGTGATGGGTATTAAAGAGGGCACGTTCTGCATGGAGCCGTGGGTGTTATGCACAAACAATGAATCATGGAACACTACATCAAAAACTAATGATGTAATGTAAGGTGATTAACATAATTATAAAAATTTTTTTAAAAAAAGGAAGCGCTCTTGGCCAAAAGGCCCGGCAATGGGGATGAAGGGATGGATGTGCAGCAGGATAAAGTGAGGAGACGCAGGAGTCCCCTGCTGTCCACACTGTGGAAAACCACAGCGACTTTCCAGAGCAAGTCTCTGCTTCACTTCAGCCCTGCAGACCTCAGGCAAGTTCTCTCTGGGCCAAGTCTACCCCAGAGCCATAGAGGGTGAGGTGCTTGGAAGCAGAGTCCACAGCCCACTTCAGGAGCAGTCATCCCAACGTGTGGATGCACAACTCATCCAGGTCTCCCAGAGGGAGTGTAGCCCTGATGGTGGGTCTTTTGTCCTTCTGTAATGCAAGTGCCACACAAGCCATGACTGCTAAGCCATCCACTTCAAAGATGGCTGTCTGGAATAAACGAGTACCCAGCCACTGGATGAGATAAAGAGCCAGAAGCCCACACCGCCGCCCCCCCCAGGCTCCTTTGCTTTAGGGATCTTGGTTGGTTTCCATAGGTGACCACTTGGGTGTCCTGTGTTTTCTCTTCCCGCGCTTTCAATTCCTACTCTCAAGTTTTTTTTATTTATTTGAGAGAGAGAGACACCTCGAGAGAGGGAACACAAGCAGGGGGAGTGGCAGAGGGAGAAGCAGCCTTCCCGCTGAGCAGGGAGCCCGATCAGGGCTCGATCCCATGACCCTGGGACCAAGACCTGAGCCAAAGGCAGATGCTCAACAACTGAGCCACTCTGGCGCCCCCCCCCCACTGTCAGGTTTTTAAATTCACCCATAAAAGATGGGCCCAAGAAACCCTGGGTCCCCACCCTTGACCCCAATAAAAGGAGAAGTCCCAGCCCATACCTTCTCTCTCTACTACCCAGGACATCGCTGTGTGCCTCCAGGAGCGCCTCATAAGCTCCAGACTTGTAAGTGACAACCCCTGTCATTTCAAAGTCCCCTGATGGTTACTGCTGAGGGCCTCTTGCAATCCTATTAAGAACCATGAAGGCCATTCCAGCCACATCGCCACATTACTGAGAGGCTGAGACCTGCACACCGTAGGTGCCCCCTGCAGGAACAAAGGACAGATCCTAGTTCCTGCCTGAGTCCCCAGTGCGGGCATCGGCACTTGGTACAACCAAGAGGTGGCAGTAAGAGGACTGTTTTGCAGGGTGCTTGGAACACAGAATGGCATGTGAAGATTCATAGGGACGCTGGGGAAGAACAGGGGCTGGAGAACAGGCCCTGAGCAGGGCCCAAGACAAGGCCTCTGCCTCCCTTCCCAGTCCCTACTCTGGCTGCACCTCCCAGGGTAAGCGAGTGGTCACTGGCCTCTGGCTGTTCACGTTCTTCAGGGGAGTGGGACACCTTTCTCAGGGCACGAGAGCCTCTGAGTGAGAGGCAAGAGCATCCTGAAAGGACGCTCTGCCTGACCTTTCTGCCTAAGCCCACACTTGGCCTTCGCTTCTGTGTGAGGTAGGCGCTGTCCTGACAAGTCACTGGTACGCCCACTTCTTGGGTCTGCTTAGCTGGAAGCCCTCTGCTAAGACGGCCAGAATCAAATGGGCCACGAGGAATCACCCAGGTTACCCAGGGGTGTCAACCCCTGTGACCAAGGCCTGACAGGAGGGTGGAGCCCTAGAGGTGCAACCATCCCCCTGGCCCCTGGACACATCTCAGGAGATGTGCACACTGCGGCCCGACCTTGCAGATTATGGGGCTCTCCAAGATGGTGCACACTACCCTTTCCTGGGGCTGAGCCTAGTGCCTAGGATGTGCTCCCAGGATAGGGGCAGAGCAGGCCAAGGGCATTGGGCTAGGTGCAGAGAAAGAACAGATTGGACCTGCTCCCTGAAACTCACTAAATCACAAGGCGTAGGTAAGACAGGTACTTACGAGCAGAGATTGTCATGCAGCGCCTGAGATTTATGGGACATGCTCTAGTTTTTGCACAAAAGAAGTTGTTGATCATCCAACAGTTGTAGCATTTCATATGATAGGCCCCTAAGCGAAGAATAAGCAGCATCAGGCTCCAGCATTTTCCACCCTGTTACCAGCCGGTTACACCCTCCCCTGGCGGGTGACCCCTTCCCCCTGCCTTAAAGGACACACTGCTATAGGCAGAAGCCAGGAGTTGCTCCTGTTCCCAGAGACCAAGTGAGGGAACCCTGCGCTCTGCAGATAAGCTTCATCTGTCCAAGGAAGCCTGACCGTCCTAAAAGGCCAGTGCCCTCCCAGATGTCGCTGGACTCAGCCACTCCTGCCCACTCCAGAAGAGGAAGGGCCTCATCTAGAAAACCCCTCCTGACCCTCTCCTAGCTCAGGGACACTTCCAAATCCACCCCGTGCCCACCAACTGCACTGACGACGGACGGCTCTGCTGGCTAAGATGACAGAAATGCCACTCAAATTCTGTCTCTGACCCTGGATAACACATAAATTCTTAGTGCCTCCCAGACAGCCAGGGGGGATACTTACAAGGTGCATATCCATCAGTGACCTGCAGCCAGCCAACGGCTACGAGCAAGGCACAGAGAAGCATCATTTCTTGAACTTGAACCTATAGGTGAGGAGACACAGGGTGCATGTCAGCAGGCTCCATATCTACAGAGCGCCCCTCACAGGACGTGTGTCTGCCAGACCCACATGAGCAGAGAACAGGGCTCCTCAAGGAGGGTCAGCATGCACCAGGTCCCGCACGCACCTCTCAGCTCCTCTCCCCACCTGCACCTGCATCCCCGCCCTGCAGGGCCCCAAGCTGCTCCACACAGGGACTGGGGGATAGGCCTTTCCCAGGAGGAAGCCTTCGTCACTCCTGCCTTCATCTTGCAGGAAGTCATCCTGCCTGCGCTCCAACAGGCAGAGTTCCGCCAAGACAGCCAGGCCCTGGGGCCGCCCCCACCCGGAGCTCACCCGAGGTCCATGCGCCCCCAGGTGCTTCCCCTTATGTACGCGTTGATGACAAGAGCAACTTGGGGACAGTGCCAGAACATTGTCCACCTGGGTGTTCCCTGCTCCCACCAGCATCTGGACAAACGTGGGGGGAAGGGAAGATGCCAGAAGCCTCACTTGCACGCGGGCCACAGTGCGCGCCAGGAACATTCTGCTAGCCGCCCCGCCTCTGTGGAATCAGGTGGCCCCGAAGTGCAAGCCACGGAGGGGCTGGGGACCCCACAGCTGAGCCCAGACCCTGCAGCTCTGCTCCACGACAGCCCCCGAGGCACCGGGCAGTGCCTGCCTCTGTACTATGTTCCCGTGGGGCCCCACCTGCACCCCCAACGCTGTGTGCCCAGGGTCCTTCGGAAACCGCCTCCCCTGCCCCAGCAGCTCGTATCCCTGGATGCGCCATCTGCCTTTTCAGGGTCAGGATCAGTCATCAGTGCTCAGGGGGATGCATCTCTGCATGGGGGTGGGGGTGTCGCCTGCCCGGAGGGGGAGCTTGACTGAGGAGGAGCCTGGCGCCTGCCTGACTGGGGCCTCCCTGAGGGTGAGGGAGGCCACCTGCCTGAGAGTGGGGGACTCCTGTCTGAAGGGAGGGGTGACGGCCTGAGGGGGTGAGGGGGGTGCCAGAGGGGAAGCACCTGCCTGAGGTAATGGAGAGTGGGGAAGGGGGTGGGGGGATGGGGACCACTTGTCTGAGGAGCCGGTGGGGGAACCAGCTTCCTGAGGGGGGTCGGCCACCTGTCGGAGGGGGTGTCCCTGGCTGAGGGGCGTCCACCTGTGTGTGGGGGACCATCTTCCTGAGAGGTGGTGGCTGCCCTTTTGAGGGGGAATCCCTGGCTGAACGGGGTGGGGGGAGGCCACCTGTCGGGGAGCATCTGCCTGCCTGGGTAGGGGAGCGCCTGCCTGATTAGGGGTCACCTGTCTAGGAAGAAGCATCTGCCTGAGAAAGGGGCCGCCGGTCACGGGGGCTGAGCACCGGGCTGAGAGAGGGCCGCCTGTCGGAGCGGGAAGCGCCTGGCTGAGGGGGGTTGCCGCCTGTCGGGGGGAAGCACCTTCTGATGGGGGTGACGGCCGCCTCACTGGGGGCGAGATGAGCACTTGGCTGGGATGGACTTGGCCTTTGCGGGGGGAGCAGCTGGCTGAGGGAGGATGGCCACCAGCCGGAGGGAGGAGCAGCTAGCTGAGGGAGGACGGCCACCAGCCAGAGGGGGGAGCACCTGCCTGAGGGAGGATGGCCACCAGCCGGAGGGAGGAGCAGCTAGCTGAGGGAGGACGGCCACCAGCCGGAGGGAGGAGCACCTGCCTGAGGGAGGACGGCCACCAGTCGGAGGGGGGAGCAGCTGGCTGAGGGCAGTGGCCGCCTGTCTGAGGGGAGCCCCTGGGAGAGGGGGGGCCGCCTGTCTGCGCAGCCCCCTTGCCGCAGGGGGAGGACGCCTTCCCTGTCGGCGGGGGCCGCCTGCACCCCTGCTGTCCCCGCCCTGTGAGGAGCCCCCCCGCCCCAGCCGGTGGCAGCCCCTCCCGGCGGTGGGGCCGGCCTGCCTCCCGCCCCAGGCCTCCGCCGCCGCTCCCCCACGACAGCCCCTTCCCACTCCGCCCGGCCGGCTGCCTGAGCCCACGGTCCGCAACGACCCATGACGACCACAGAGAACCTTCTGGAACCGGGGGCTGGCGCGGCCGGAGACCGTGGGCACAGCGGGGTTCGGAGGCACAGCCGCAGCAGGGGAGCAGGAGGACCCTCCGCACCACAGTCGCGCTTCTCACAGCAGGGGCACGTCCCCAAGGAAGTCTGCGTGGGCGTGGCCAACTCCCGAGGGTCTCTGCGCACGCGTGCGCGTGCCGGCGCGCCTGCGCTCTGAGGTTCTAGGGATTCTAGAAGGTTCGGCAGGCATCGAAGGCCCCGCCCTCACAGAGCCAGGAGGCGCGGAAGGTTCCAGTAGGTTCTGGCGACTTACCTCACAGGCCCAGCAGCGCGGCAGTTCACTGAGAGAAGGTTGGGTGTCTCTGGGAAGGGGGAGGGGAGGGACGGCGAGGGGGGGTTCCAGAAGGTTCTGGGCGTGGCCCAGGGCGGGTCTGGGGTGGGGGGCATCCCTCTGCCCTGGGGTCTCGGCCCCACCAGGACCTCTCCCCTGGCTCTGCGCTTCCTCCTTTGAGGCCCTTTGTGTGGGCTGAATTTGATGTCCTTTTCTTAGTTTCCGAGATGGAAACGAGAGCCTGGGCTGCCTGCCCTGCGACCTTTCCTAACGAATACTGGTGGAGCCTGCCTTTCCTTGCCCGGCCCTTGGGGCCTTCCATGTCGGGCTGTGTTTTGTCTCCTTGTCCTTACCACGCTGTCCCAAATACTTTCCATCTTCTGCTGGGAGTGCTGGGGGAGGGGGTGCGAGGTTTGCAAGGGTGTGAATTGGAAAACGGGAGGATTTCCTCCTTTTTCCCTGGGACTCACTTCTTGCTCGGCCGGTATTGAGGAAAAGGTACTCAGAGTTTCTCGAGTCCTTGTGGACATGAAACCTGCATGCGTTCCCGCCGCGAGACCCCGCTGCAAGAGCAGGCACTGCCTGGTGCCTGGGGGGCCGTCCTGGAGTAGAGTGCCAGGGTCTGGACTCAGGTGTTGGGGGCCCATCCCCTCACTGCCCACACTTTGGGGCCACTTGATTCTGCGGGAGGGGACGGGTGGGGGTTGGGTGTGGCGGAAGGTTCCTGGGTCACACTGCAGCCTGTGTGCACGTGAGGCTTCCGGCATCTCCCACACTGTAGTCACCCCCTCTTCCCCGCACGTTTTTCCGGACGCTGGTAGGAGCAGGGAATATCTGCATGGACAATGTTCTGGCACTTTCCCCAAGTTGCTCTTGAGGTGGGGGTCAACGAGTACATAAGGAGAAGCATCTGGGGGCGCAGGGACCTCGGGTGAGCCCCAGGTGGAGGCGGCACCGGGACCTGGCTGCCTTGGCAGAGCATTGCCTGATGGAGAGCAGGCAGGATGACTTCCCGCAAGATGAAGTCACGGGGGAGGAAGGCTTCATGCTGGGAAAGGCCTACTGCCCCCAATGCCTGCGTGGAGCAGCTTGGGGCCCTGCTGGGCGGGGATGCAGGTGCAGGCGGGGAGAGGAGCCGAGAGGCGTGTGCAGGTGGCTGGTGCATGCTGACCCTCCGGAGGAGCTGTTCTCTCTGCTGATGTGCAGGGAGTGTTGACACGCTCAGTGCCTCTGTGGTATTTAAAAAGGTGTGGAGGTATAGAACGTGCAGATAAATATATCAAGAGAGCTTCCTTGCAGTTCTTTTTAACGTTTATCTTCGTTTTATTTCTTTGGATATTTGAAACTGACGGGAGTGTATACTGCAAACGTGTTGGATATATTTTATTGTAGACCCAACACTAAAAGAAAGTTGAAGTCAATACTGGACCAAATGTATGTTACATGTTACATGCCTTTTCAAAACTATGTTCTGCTGTACTTTGGGAAAGATAATTCCTCTAGGTACAGAATTCTAGGTTGGCAGGATTTGTCTTCCAACCCTTGACATGTCTTATTACGATCCTTTTGCTTATATGGTTTCTGATGTGAAGTGCACTGTAATTCCCCTTATTATTCCTTTGTGCGGGTTCCTTAAAGTTTTCTCTTTGAACCGAACACTCGTGGCATTTCGGATTGTAGGTTTGAACATGCCCAGGTGTACGTAATTCGTGTGTGTGTGTGCGCGCGTGTGCATGAGCGTGTGTGTCCGTGTGTGTGTGAGTGTGTGTGTGTGTGCCTTTGTTCGTTTTGGTCTGGTACTTGTTTTGTTCTCTAAGCTTCCAGAGTCTTCCCGGTGATGTCCGTCAGTAACACTGGTAAGCCCTTAGCCCTGACTATTTCAGGTAATTCTTCTGTGCTGTTCTCTCCTCCTCCTTTTGGTCTTTCAACTACCTGTATGTTACATAAAAAACACCTTCCCACAGTTCTTGGATATTCCGTTCTGTTCTCTCATCCTTTTTTGTCTTTGTTTTTTGGCTGGGGAGATTTCTACTGACCTGTCTTCAAGCTCGCTGAGTCTTTCCACAACTGTGTCTTGAGTCCATTGATGTGCCATCTGCAGCATTCCTCATCTCTGCCACACTGGTTTTGGCTTCTAGCATTTCCATTTGACTCTCAGAGTTTTTGTCTCGATGCTCACATTGGGTATCTGTTTTCACATGTCATCTGCTTTTTCTACGGGTGCTCTTCGTGTCTGAATCCTAGTCCTGTCCCATCCCATCCCTCTCTGATGACTGACGTCTCTGTTATATAGGTCTTGCCCTCGTGCTTGCTTTCCCTCCTCAAGCTGTTGTCTTGGCTTTTGGCACGCCTTGTGTTTCTGGTTGAAAGCTGGGCGTGTGGAGCTGGTTAATAGGAACTGCTGTAAATAGGCTTTGAGCCTGAGGATTCATGTTACCTGGCTTAGGAGTGGGACTCTGTGTAATGTTTTCTGCAGCTCTAGTTCCCTTAGGTTTCACATTCTTGAGTGTCCTTGTTTTTGTCTCCTGTTGTAGCTCGCATCTTTCCTGTGCATTGCTCCTAGGACAGAGGGTGTGTTTTGTGGCACTTTCAGCTGCTATCCTTCCAAAAGAAAAAGAAAGGGCTTGGTGGCCAAGTGCTGGGGGCTGGATGTGGACTCTTGTGAGAATGGGAGACTCCCAAGGACTGCTGTTCACACCCAGCTTCCAGCACTTTGTCAAAATTGCATGTAACTGCTCCTACCGGTTTACAGCTCCAGCAGCTTCTGCTCCAGGTAAGCGTGTTTCAGGATGGCCTGTCAGGGTCCAGCTGGTTTGCCACATTTGGGACTGTCACTTCTGTCGTCCTCAGTTCTCCGAGGGGCTACTAAATGTGGTTGGTTTTCAGTTTGGCAAGTGTTTTCTTTTGGGAATGATGGTCCCAAGCTCCTACGCTGTAGGACTAAATGCTTCGGTCATCCTCCATCTGTTCGGATGAAGCAGATAATGGAAGTAAAGAATGGGGTAAGAAGAGAGAGGAAAGGGGAACAGGCTCACTGGCTACACGACATGGCCATTATTAATCATGGTGATCAGCGGGAACCAAAGGACACCGTTGAAAGTGACAACCGGCAGTAAATAGTTAAGTAGGAAAATTGGAGAAAGAAAGCTGTTTCAAGAGATCTAAGTAGAAGGTAAAACTGAAACAAAAATACAAAATTGAACTATGCAAAGAAATATAAAAAAGAACAGGGACAACACATCACACAAAGAACCAGCCAATGTAATCAATATGACGTATTACAATAATAATAATCATAACACAGAGAGTGTCTCTGAGGGAGTTTACACCAAACGTACCAACCATTTCAATACATATCAATGGCTTAACTTACCTATTAACTGATGTGTGGGCACATAGGGCCGGGCCTAGGCTCCGTTGCTGTAGTGAGTGGGGTGGGGCGTGGGCGGGGTTGGTGTCGGGAAGCGGGGCCTGGAGTGGTTGGGGTCAGGGAAGGGTGAGTGGGGCTGGACCTGGGATCTGGTCGGCATGGATGGTCAGGCATAAACTGGGTTACCAGACGGGATGCAGCAGTAGGTGTGCACCCTGCCCGAGAGACCACATTGCCTCCCCTGGACCCATGGGGGTGGACACATAGGAAGTCAGGCCTAACCCTGGAGCCACAGAGCTGAGCACATGGCCTCACTCCTTGTGTCCAGGGCCAGGCACCGCTGGAAATGACGATCCTCCTTGCTTTGCTCCTGGTCCTGGACCTGCCACGGGTGGAGACAGATGTCACCGTGTCTGGAAAACAAGGTACGTCTGGGCCCCTCAGTCTCCTGACTGGCAGAAGAAGGCAGGCCAGAATGCATTGGTAGACACGGCGGGGCCACCCGAAATGGACATTGCCACGGCCCCAGGTGGCTCTGGGCGGTTGGAAGCACAGGCATCGGGGAGCAAGAGAGGGTCAGCAGAGCAGCCTGTGGATTTGGACACCTAATGGGAGAGCCTGTCATCTTGGGGCTCCCCCGCCAAGGGCAGGCAGGAGTGGCTGGAATCCTGGTTTCTTCCCTAGCATCCTGCTGTCTCCTCAGTGTCCCCTCACACTGCCTTCCTGGAACATGTCAGGCTGGGAGCCAAGCTTGGCCTGGGCCTCATGGGAACTTCCAGGGGTGTCTCCGAGAACTGGAACAGCTGTGAGACGGTGACCAGCTTCTCTCCCAGGAGCGGGTGCTGCCCTAATACAGACCCAAGAGCGGGCTGTCGCCCAGGGGTCAGGGCGCAGGGCCTAAGAGTGTCGAGGAGGGTGTAGCTGTTGCTGGAGGAGGTTAGGTGGCCCAGAAAGGTGAGCGGGAAGGGCAGGTGGCAAATCTGCCGAGCCGCCGAATGTGAGATGCCGCGTGTGTCCATGTGTGCATGTGCGCACATGCATGCACGTGTGGAGGGTGCTTCTGTGGAAAGGTATGGGTGCGCAGGCTGGTGGTGCGGGTGCCCGGGTGCTCTGGTGCGTGTCTGTGTGTGTACATGTCCGTACCGTGTGTCTGGGTGTTGGTGTGTGAGTGAGCCACAGCCCGGGGGAGGAGGAGGGAAGCCCAGGAGAGAAGGCAAAGGACTGGAGACCCACTGGTTTTGTACTCACTCAGACGAGGAAGAGCATGGTGGGTGTTCATCTGATAGGGCTGGAGACTGTAATTGTCTCCTTTGTTGTTATTCCTCCTTTCAGGTGTAACACTGAGGTGTCATGTATGTGAGATAGAGAATAGTTTCAACTGCACCCATGAAACGAACTGTGACGAGGGTGCTAAGTTTTGTTCTTCTGTTGCCGTGAGTAAGTATCTCAGTTCATATTGGGTTCACAGGCAGGTCAGTAAATACTAACAGGAAGTAGGGTCTGTCCAGTTTTTCTCAACAGGGAATAACTTATACAAAAGTGACCTTTAAAAAAAATTGGAGAGCAAGGTCCTGAGACATCAGGACTGAAAGCAGGTGGCAGAGGAGTCCAGCTTATGGAAAACCAGTGCCAACATATGTCAGACCGCGAAAAGTTGGACTAGAGGAAATAGTGGGGTGCAGGAAGAAAGTCACAGAAGTTTATTTGTATCCATATTTATACAAATTTATTTATCAAACTTAGGAGGGAGACAGAGAGAGAGGCGCCCCTGCAGGGGGAGGGGCAGAGGGAAAAAGAGTCCCAAGCCAACTCCCCACTGAGCATGGAGCCCAACACCAGGCCGATCTTAGGACCCGGACATCACCCTGAGCTGAGACCAAGAGTCAGGCACTCAACTGACTGAACCACCTAGGCGCTCCTATTTGTATTCATTTCTTTTTTTAAAGATTTCCCTTATTTATTTGACAGAGAGAGACTCAGCGAGAGAGGGAACACAAGCAGGGGGAGTGGGAGAGGGAGAAGCAGGCTTCCCGCTGAGCAGGGAACCTGATGCGGGGCTTGATCCCAGGACTCTGGGATCATGACCTGAGCCAAAGGCGGATGCTGAACGACTGAGCCACCCAGAAGCCCCTCTCTGTATTCATTTTTAAGTGAAAAATGAAGCTTTAATGATTTCACCTGTCCCGCGGAGAATAGTTTTATAAGAGAGCTACATAATTAGGGGTGTGGGCTTACCATATGTTCTGGAAGGAATGTGTGTGCTGTTAAATGGGAGACCATTGCTCTGTCGCCTGTAACTCACCCAAGAACTCTGGCCACACGAAGTTGCCCCCACCAAAGAGGCGTCTGGAAGCCAGCACCATCCAGCAGTGGCGTGGTCAGGGCTCAGGAATTCAGAGGCAGCGTGGCAGCACTTCCGGAGGTCCCGCCCATGTTCCCGGAAATGTGTGGGGTGCAGAGTGGAGGCTTAGGACTGGCGCTAGCCCCAGGCCGACTTCACGAGCTCCTAGGGAAAAGCGATTGGCACGATGACCTGATGATGAGGTGAAGCCAGAAGAGTGCCGTGCAGCCAGTGCTGAACCATGCTGCCCCTGGCAGGTGCACGGCGACGGCATGGGCGCCTAGGCCCTGGCTGGTGGCTCATCAAGAGCCCAGTGCTGAACCCTGGGCCATGGCCTGGATGGGCAAGAGTCCAGCTCCCATGTGTGTCCCGTGGTTACCAAGACCTCTACACCCTGGTAGTGAGATGCTGAGGCCTAGGAGCCTCTAGGTTCCCCAGTGGAGAGCCCAGTCCTCGGGTCCCAGTAGGCATGCACCAGCCATGGCTGGGGAAGAGGGTGCAGGGGTGGGGGTGTATCACATGGCCACTCTGTAGGCAAGCCGCCCCACATCCACAATAGCAAAGGCCTGTCCCATTCCTCCTTGGTGATGACTCCTGACTCCCTCCTAGATGGGGCGTGGGGGGGGTGAGGGAGAAGGGAAGGGGGGCAGCAGTGGGAAGGGGGGCCTCTTTAACCATGGACCTCTGGGCGGGGGGCACCAGAAGTTCAGGGTTGGACAGGTACAGACAGAAAGTTCTTTGGGGGCGCTGCTTTCAATTCACGTGATTCCTTTCTGTATTTGCTCTTAGGAATATATCCACGTTTCTTCTATGTTTCAAAGCAGTGCTCAAAGTATTGTCCAGTAGGTGAATCGTTGGATCTGATAGTCAAGTCCTTTGTCCTCTTAAAGCCCACGCCTTTTCTGTATGTAAAGTGCTGCAGTGGCATGTTATGTAACAGAGAGGGGCCAGACCTCCCCGAGCCAGGGTACAGACAAGGCGGGAGCGCAAGCGACGCGGGGGGCAGCAGTGCTTGGCTGGTGCTCTTCCTGACACTGTCCTCTGGGCTTTGGGGCCTCAGGCTGCCGTGAGCCATGGAGCATGCCTCGGTCCCTGCCTTCTGGAGCATGGCACAGTTGAAATGGACTCGCTGCAGCTGTTTGGAACCTGTTGCATTAAACTTGTTTTCCACTGACTAACAGTCTGACTTTTGAGAGACCTTAGGGTAGCTGGGTGGGGACCAAGTCCAGTTGGCCGTGGCCCACAACTTGCCTTCGGAGTAAGTCCAAACCCTCTAACAGTGTTTCTCTTTGAACACAAGCCTTATATTCTGTTCATTGCTGCTGCGCTTTCCTCCTCTTGGCCTTTGAGGGCTTCAGTTTTGGTGGAGGGGAGCCTGAGTGTCACCCATGGAGAGGTGTGCTCGGATGCTTCTGGCCTTGGGTGGACCCTGGGCTAGGGGGAAGACAGGATGATCTGGGCATGAGACACCCAGGAGTGAAGGACTCCTCAGCATGGGGCGGGGGTATAGCATCCCAGGGAGAGCCGGCTACGGTGGGGGCAGCACCACGGCTCCTCTCACTGGGCTTGTCCACCTGGACTCTGGGAGACGGAACAGGAGGAATTCTGTGGAATGAACTTGGACTTCGCCCAGCAGCTGGCACAGGTGTGTGGCCTCACAGGTTTGCCCACGTGCATTCGTCCAACATTGGGAACTCGGGTCAGGTAGCCAGCAGCAGGGCCAGGTAGACTCCCCTTGCTGAGTGCCACTGCTACTGGGACGGCAGCCTGGGGGAGCGGGGGGAGCGGGGGGGCTCTGGCAAGGCAGTGCTGCTGCAAGGTGGCAGATACCCCCCACACCAGAATATGCGTGCCCATGAGCCTCAGCACCTATGTGTCGGCTTTTAGACCTAGAAAAAAGAGAGGTTGAGGGTCTACTTTGAGTCTAGGGAGCAGTCTTCCAAGGGTAACAAGTCTCCCTGAAGCTCCATGAGCTGCCAGTCCCTCTCCTCTAATGGCTGGACTCGATGGGTCACACAAGGGCCCACGGGAGGAGCTCGGGAGTTGAGGCTTCAAATCTTGCCTGTCGGAGGCTGCCATGGACCCATCTCCTGATTGGTACATGTGCAGCTACTGGTGCATTCCTGAACACACAGGCTCTCTATAGCCTCTGCATCTTCGAACAAGCATGTCCATCTGTCTGAAACATCATTCTGTCCCAAGCACTTAGAAACCTCCTACCACCTCCTCCTTTTTACAGAATAAATATTAGCTAACCAAGCCCAAGAGAATTAAAGTAACAGATAGGTTATGAGCAGATGCAGCTTCCTCCAGCAAGGTGAGAATGGTTCCATCTTACACAAGGGTGCTGCGTGCTCTCATCGGAGGATACGGGTAAGAACCCAATGACCATCAACATTCACTTAACATGATTTTCTAAAAATTCCGGAATAGAAGAGAATTTCAATCATTTAATAAAAGTTACCTCCCTGAAACCTAAAACAAACATTCCTAATGGTGACACATTGATGTGTGCCATTTAAACTGGAAAACCTGATATACATACGCTGTCATAACTACAATCAGACATTAAAGTAGAAAGCTTAGCCATGTAATAAAATGAGAAAAATCAGGAGTATAGAAATGGTTTACCTGGCAATATGCCTCAGTAGAGAGCTTAAAACCCTCCTATTAAACTTTAACATGTTGAATAAATATTTAAAATACTTTTCAACTGTATGCCATGCCAATTTGAACATTTCAGAAACAAAATTAAGAAAGAAGGAAGAGAAAAAAGAAACTGAATCATGGGAGTATAGAATCAGCATCCTGGAGCTGGCAGCCGTCAGGATACTTGCTTTTCTCTGGTTCCCTAGAACCACATGTGAGGGAGTGGACAAGGTACTGGCTCTCCATAAGAGAGGGCATGAAAGAACCACAAATAAGCTTCAGAAGAGCGATATCCCAAATTAAGTATGAAACTAGAAAACACATACACGGCACAAGGAAACTGTGTCAGTACGGACTCTGCATGGAGAGAAACATACAGAGAATGTTCTCTGAAAATTAAAAACTCTCATATGACTTTGGGGTTCATATTTCCACTATTGGTTTATTCCAATAAGGCCCAATACAAGAAATAAACACGAAGTGGTAACAGATTGTTTTTCCAGGTCTCTATAGGGTAAAACCAAAGGAAAATCCTCTCTGAAGGAATGAATATACTCCATGAAAATTAATCAAGGGAACCTCACTAAAATGGAGTCAAGGAGGCCAGAAGGGGGCGCTCTCATGCCCGACTAGTCCAGGTGAATTATAAGAATTGTCTGTTACAGACCCAACAGAAGCGTCCTTAACAGGAGATAATCATGAGTTATGGCCCCCCAGGGAAAGATGGGGCTCCCACAAGAAATCGACCACACCCCTGCAGCTCAGCTGCCAGAACCCAGCATCAGCCTGAAGCCCTGCTAGCCTCCAGCGGACTTTCCTTCAAAACCACCCTCCCAACTTCTTCCTTCTTCACCCTAAAGTAATGGGCTTCTCCTTTATTTGTGGGGGCTAGCCTATGGTTTGGCTGTAGCTTGCTCCTCCTGAGTTACAATTCTCTGAACTCAGAAGTCATAGACTCTCTCAGGTATCACCTCATAAATACCTGCTAAAATAACAAAATTCACAAAAGACACAAGAAACAAGTAGAACTAGTCCACCACACATTGGAAATAATAGAATATAATACAGATTTGCTGAAAGATATAGAAGAGCATTAAAAAAGATATAAAAGAGCATAAAAAAAGGAAAGAACAAGATACAGTGAAAAAATATTAAGTAGGCCTCACACACAAGAAAGAAAAGGAAGAAAACCTAAAGAGAACTTCTAGAAATGAGAAAACCACAGAATATAAAAACTTGAGGGATAAAAAACAGGTTACACATACATGGAGAATAAAAAAGTGGAATTTCATCTGAACAAATTATTACAATGCAGCCCAGAGGTAAAAAATGATCAAAGATACAAAGAGCCTAGAAGACGTGGAACGAGGAGAAAGTCTAATACAGAAGTAGGCAGAACTCCAGAGGGGATCGGAGAGAATAGAACACAGGCAATTTTAAAACAAAGAGCAACAGGTGAGTTTTCAAAACTGATTTACGACAAATACTCAGATCAAGCAATCACAACTGACCTGTACTGAGACACATTCAGAGTAAAACTTCAGGATTTCAAAGCCAATGGGAAGTATTAAAAGCTGCCTGGGAGAAAAGATATGTCTAAAACAGAAGAGCAATTATACTTTGTGTGGACCCAACCTTCAGTATGGAAGTCAGAATACGAGGCAAGAATTCTTACCTCCAAAGCGCTGAAAGAAAATAAGAAATTAGCCTGGAATTGAATACTTAAAAAGATATTTTCTGATAAAAAAAACCAAACCGACCAACCTGAAATGGTTCACCACTGATCAATCATTACTAAAGGAACACCCAGTAAACATTCTTTAAAGGGAGTGACAATCGCAGATAGAAAGATAGAATCATAAAGAGTGATCTTAATATGTGGTGCTATGGACTGAGCTATGGTGCCTCGAACATTCACGTGTTGACATCCTAAAGTCAAATGTGACTATTTGGATTAAGGAAGTAATTAAGGTGACATGAGGTCATAAGGTGGGGCCCTGAGCCAAAGGAATCAGTATTTTTAGAAGGTGAGACGCCAGAAAGCTGTCTCCTTGCCACAGCCAGAAGGGGGCCGAGAAGGGGTCCAGCTGCAGGCCAGAAAGCAGGTCCTCACCAGAACCCGAGGCAGCGGGCACCCGGACTTCAGCCTCCAGCCTCTAGACCTGGGGGAAAGAAATCTGTTGTTCAACCCACTCAGTCCTCATTTTGTTGCAGCAACACGAGAGGACTAAGACATGTGGATAAATTAAAGCAAACCTCAACTAGGTAGCGCAAGGATAATTCCTTATTTGGAAGGTCAAAGAAAATAAGACAGAAAACGATACCAACGGCACACCAGGCAGGAGGGAACTGATTCGGATCAAAGTGTTTTTTGGTTTTTGCATGGTTTACAAAGAGGTTAGAGATCTTGATGGAATTTAGATGTATGTCGCACAACTTCCACAAAAGATTCTTCCCCTCCCCCAACATTTAAATATATAAAAGACTATTTTTAGGTTCTATAAAAACAAGCTGCTAGATTGGCCTTCAGGCTGCCAACTCCTACAGGAGGGAAACATGATTAGCCTAGGTAGCTTCCCCTCCTGGAGCTGTAGTTACCAAATGAAGAAGATGGGATTAATAAAAATTGAAAGCTCCAAGGAGTGAGTGGCCCCAAAGACTCCTACGGAGAGGTGAATCCGGGGCGGGGGTCTCGGGGCTGGAGGAGGGCCGGGCTGGACCCACACCCTGCGCGACGAAGCTTTGCACGCTGAAAAAACCGGCGGCGGGTTGGACGGCGGCGGAGAAGAGAGCGCCCCGGGGCAGCCAGGCTGAAGTGCCGCGGAAGGAGCAGGTCCCTCCCCGCAGCGCCGCCCTCTCTGTCTGGCGCCCCTAGCGGCGGAGCCTCGCATGGCGGCACCGGCCGGGGGAAGCGGGTCTGAGGGGCCTGGCGGGGGACCGCTGGAGCTGAGCTATTCTTAGTAATTGGCGCACCACGTAAAAAGGAAACATAGACTTTCTAGTATCAAAGGTGATGCCAATACAAAAAGCATTGCTATAATGGAGAGTTTTTCATAACTGCAAAAGGGTAAATCCAACAAGCCGAAGATATAATTCTAAATTCGTATGCCTCTATATACATAGCCTCAAAATCCATCAAGCAAACATTAACAGACATAAAAGATGAAATGGTAGATTTCACTATAAATTTCTCTGTGTGTATGACAAAACAAGCCAGCAAATTAATAAAGAGGTAGAATATTTGAACATCAGGATTAACAAACTTGACCGAATGACATACAGAGCACGGCATCCAACAACTGAAAAATCAGTTTTTTCAAGTGGGCATGGAATAATTATCAAATTTTTATCCATATGCTGTGGGTAAAGCAATTCTCTACAATTTCAATGGATTGAAATCATCTTGAGTGTGTTTTTGACCATAGTGTTATTAAGTAAAAAACTAATAACAAAAATTAAAATATTCCCAATGTTCGGAAATGAAGCAGTAAATTTCTTGATATTCTAAGACTCAAAAAAAATGACAATG